ATTAGTTGTCATGTCATTAAGCAGTCTCCAGCTGACATGAATGTACAAATTGCCTAAATATATACTGTAGAAAATGAGTTACAGTTAACCCTAAATTATCATACATAAAGAGGAAAAAGGTGGGACAACAGCAAGATGGTGGAATAGGACTTCCCAGCACTCATTCTCCCACAGAAACATCCACTTGAAAAACTATTCATGCACAAAAATACCTTCTCAAGAGCTAAGGAAACCAGGTGAGAAATTACAGCAATAGGTGTAGCACAAAAATAAGAAAAAACACATTGAAGAAGGTAAGAAGGACTGTTTTATAGCAGTCATGTCACCCCTCCACCAACTCCAGGCAGCAGAGCATGGGTAGAGATATCCTCCAGGTGGGCGAAAGAGAGTCAGTGAGCATGGGAGTTTGCCTTGGATCACCGCAGCAGGCCCACCCCAGTAGAACTCAGCACTGAGCAAGCCCCCTCAGCCCAGAATCCAGGCTGATAACTGTAGACAAAGACTTCAGGCCCATCCTGGTATGAGGATAGATCACAAAGTCCTGGGTTCTAGGCTTGTTCCACTGGGATCCCAGACTCCAGACCAGCTCAAGGCTCAGGACAGCCCTAGCACCAGGCAAGACTGCATAGACTGTCTCCAGCTCTGCTCCAGGGCCAGGCCAGTCCCAGTGGCCCTACGTTCTAGACCACTCCCAGCACAGGGCTGGCCTCCATGGGCCCAAGCTTCAGGCCCACCCCAGCACCAGGCCAGCTCCTGCAGATACAGGTTCCAGGCCTGACGAGGGCCAAGTTAGCTCCTGCTGCCCTAGTCTGGCTCCTGCAGCCCACACCCCAGTGGAAGTAGGGTCTAGGCCCTTCCCAGTAGGGCTCTCTGTTGGGTTGGCCCCCATAGACACAGGTTCCAGGAACACCCCTGTGGACTCAAGTTCCAGGCTAGCTCCTATTGCCCTAGGACCCAGGCCAGCCCCATGTGGCCCAAGTCACCAGGCCAGCACCCATAACCCCAGGCTCCAGACTAGCCCCTGTGATCCCAGGCTGCACACCTGCCCCAGCATCAAGCTGGTCCTAGGTAAATTCCTGTGGTGCCAGGCACCAGTGAAGTCAGGCTCTAGGTATGTTCCCGCAGAAGCAGAGTCTGGAATCACTCCAGTAGATTCCATTGCCAGACTGGCTCCCATAAACTGAGGCTTCAGGACCACTCTTGCAGATTCAGGCTCCAGGCTAGCCACGGTATACTCAGGACCCAGGCCCATCCCAGGGGTCCGAGGCACCAGGACCACCTTGGAACCTGGCCAGATACTGCAGACTCAGGCTCAAGGCTCACACCAGTGCCAGACCAACCCCCATGGACTTAGGCTCCAAGTTGGAACCCTAAGGATCCAGGCCCATCCCTATAGAGCTCATCAACAGATCCACCCCAGTAGATCGGCTCTAGGAACAACCCCATGAACCCATACACAAGGCCAGCTTACCCAAGGACTCCAGCAGCAAGCCTGCCACGCACCATGCCAGACGGCTTGTCTAGAATCTCTGGATGGGGTTACTGGTAAAGAGCTTTCCCAGACAGAGCCAGCCTGCAAAGACTGGAATAAGTCCTTATTTCTTTAAACACACACACATCAACACATGGCCACAAAGATCAAGAATAATCAGAGAAATATGTCACTACCAAATAAACAAAATAAATCACTAGTAACTGACTCTTCTTCACAAATAATCCAAAATTATTGTTTTAGAGAAGCTCAGTGGACTTCAGAAAAATTCAGAGGAATAATTTGATGAAATCAGGAAAATGATAAATTATCAAAATAAGAAATTTAACAAAAATTGGAATTATTTTTTAAAAATCAAATTTTAGAGCTGAAAAAATATATACAGTCAAATTCAGAATATTCTAATACTGTTGTGGTATATAAATCACTTATATCTTTAGTATGAAGGTTAACAGACAAAACTATTAAAAATAATAATAGATACAATGACTTGTTAAGGAACATGCAATATAAAAAGACTTACATTACAAAATCAAAAACAAAACGTGGAGAGGTGGGTAAAAGTGCAGTGGTTTTTTATGTTATCAAAGTTATGTTATTATCAGTTTAAAATAGCCTGTTATAACATCTTTTATGTGAGCTTAATGGTAACAACAAAGTAAAAACCTAATAGTAAATGCACAGAAGATAAAAAGTAAGGAATCACAGCAAAGCAAAAACCTAACAGTAAATACACAAAAGATAAAAAGGAAGGAATCAAAGTCCTTACTAGAGACAATCATCTAATCACAAAGGAAGACAGCAAGAATTGAAGAAACAATAGATCTAAAAAGCAACCAGAAAACAATGAACAAAATGGCAGCAGTAATTCCTTACCCATCAATAATTACCTTGAATGTAAATGGACTAAATTATCTGGTCAAAAGACACAGATTGGCTGAATAGATACAGAAATAAGACCCAATTATATGCAGTGTACAAGAGACTCATTTCATCTTTAAAAAATGGATGCACATAGATTAAAGTGAAAGAATGGAAAAGAGCCAGGCACAGTGGCTCACATTTGTAATCCCATCACTTTGGGAGGTCAAAGCAGCAGGATCCCCTGGGCTGGAGTACAGTGGCATGAACACAGCTCAATGCAGCCTCAACCCCTCAGCCTTCAGTAATCATCCCAACTCAGCCTCCCATGGAGCTGGGACCACAGGCAGACACCAGCATGCCTGGCTAATTTCTTAATATTTTGTAGAGACAAGGTCTCACCATGTTGCCCAAGTCGAGTCTTTAACTCCTGAGTTCAGGGGAACCTCCCAATAAGTTCAAGAGATCTCCTATATGTCATGATGACTGCTGTTAATAACAATATATTGTATTGAAAATTGCTGAGAGAGGAGATTTTTAAGTGTGCTCACCACAAAAACAATTAAGTACGTGAGGCAGCACATATGTTAAATAGCTTGAGGTAGCCATTCCGCAATGTATACATATATCAAAACATCATGTTGTACATCATAAAAATACAATTTTTACCTCTCAATTTAAATAAAGAAATAAGATTTTTGAAAAATGGGAAAAGGCAATAGACTACCTTTAAACTTCACGAGGTTTTGATGAACAAAATTTTCTCTATAGAGTTCAAGGAAGTACTAGGGAATAGTGATACAGCCAGAACAGCTGCAGAGAAGTTGAGAGAGGAATAGGAGGAGGTTAAAGAGTGACTCATGAGGCTTTGATCATAATCTATCAATAAATGAGACGATTATTGTTTTGTTTGATCTAGTTGTCAGTAAACAGGTCTCATTCAAGAACCATTGGGCACTACAAAAGTGAAGGGCTATCCATGCTTTGGGACAGCTCAACCAAGTTGCTTTCATAGGTGTGTTTGCTTGTTGATTTGTTCTTTAGAATTCAGCTTGATGATAAGGACTATGGAGATGGAGTATTTGCTCCTTTCTGCTAGTAATCCTGGGACAGTGCCTTTCCAGATACTCCTCCATCTTGCCCGGGTATAAAAATTGAAGGGTGAAAACTTTGGCTTACTGGTTTTTATTCAATTTTATATCCTAAATTATTTAGAGAGATAGCAGGACAAAATAAAATTGACTGGAGGGAAGCATCTAGTTTCCGGCCATATATAAACTAAACTGAATTGAGTCCCTTACTCTACCAATTACTACATTTTACTTTGTCTTAGAAAGAAGAAGAAATACTGATAATTAGACAAAACAATAACTGGAATTTCATACAAGTAAAAAATAGTTTTTCCATCTTCATGCAATTTTTATTAATAGTAGAACACACTTAACAAAAACTCTAATTGCTAAGGCTATACCTTACATAAGACAGAATGTTCAACAGACTTACTTGTGAATTATCTAAGTCCCATGATTTACTTTTCTCTTTCCTTAAATTTCAACCCATGGTTCCCATTGTCCTCCTCATCCTCTTTTTTGGCTTTTTAAAAGATAGGGGTTCCCTGGATCCTGGAGCTAGTACCCAATCCTCTTTTTTTAAAAACAAAAACAAAACAAAAAACAAAACACTGGGTTCTTCGATGTTGTCCAGGCTGGTCTCAAACTCCTGGGTGCAAGTGATCCTCCTGTCTCTGCCTCCCGAATAGCTGGGATTACAGGAGCACACTGCTGTGCCAGTTCTGGTACCTAATCGCTAGTTGGGTACTTAATCCTTACATCACAAGTCATTCACAGAAAATATTTTTATTTCTATAATCATATGTGATGCCAAAGTTCTAGGCTATATCCTCTAGCCACCTTTTAGCTTAGAATGTAAAATAATTTTAATAAAAACATGTATTTCTGGGGTAGGAGAACGAATTTCAAAATAAAAACTATTTTCAACTGTGAAATTTTAGAGGCTGGGCGCGGTCGCTCACGTCTGTAATCCCAGCACTTTGGGAGGCCGAGGCGGGTGGATCACCTGAAATCAGGAGTTCAAAACCAGCTTGGCTAACATGGTGAAATCCCGTTTCTACTAAATACAAAAAATTAGCCAGGAGTGGTGGTGCACACCTGTAATCCAGCTACTTGGGAGGCTGAGGCAGGAGAATTGCTTGAACTCGGGAGGCGGAGGTTGCAGTGAGCCGAGATCGTGCCACTGCACTCTAGCCTGGGCAACAGAGTGAGACTCCGTCTCAAAAAAAAAAAAAAAAAAAAAAAGGAAAGAAAGAAAAAGAAAGAAAGAAGGAAAGAAGAAAGAAACAGAAAAAGAAAGAAAAGAAAGAAAGAAATTTTAGGTTTCCTTTTGTTCTCTTTAATCACAATAAGCCTGACTGAACTATCTCATGAGGACTTCTAGAACACTAATTCACTAGAGGAGGGAGTGCAGGAAGTCAGAGTAAAAGAGAATTTAAGGTGTGTTAACACAACTGGGGAGAAAAGATCATGGTACATGAATAAAGACTGTAATTCTTGTTTTACTCCATTTGTCAATCTCAGCAGTGCAAGGTGATTTCTAGGCGACTCTATAAACCACGTATCACAGGACCTACCTCCTCACAAACTGTAGAAAAGCGGTTGAGGAACTGTACAGTGTGCACCACAAATTGGTTTAGAAAAGCCACTGTTCTTTTCTGTTGAATAGCTGGCACCTGTGTTACGTAAAAACAAACATGGTTCATACAGGAGGAACGTACGCTGTGCAAACCTTTTAATATCTGCACATAATCACGAGGCACTTTGCTGCGTGATATGAATTTCCTGAAAGACTGTGAATAGTCATTAACTTGTTTTCCTAAACTGTAGGTGGGGTGTCCGAAGATGACAGAGGATGCACTCAAGTTTGAGACCACGCTCTAGCGTCACTAGTATGAATTTTAGCAGGCAAAAGCCACACACATAAACACACACAAAAACTTGGGGCTGAGTAAGAGGTAGGGCTAGTGATCATAACCGGCTTGGGTCGCCGGTGGCACCTAGAGACACCCGACACCGGAAGCCAAAGTTGGCAGGTGCACACCGTCTCCTTAATCAGCTCAGGAGGGACCCCATTTCAAGGTGGACTGTGGGGTTCTCCCTCCTGAGGCCGGCAGAAGGGCCCAGGGTCGGGACAGGGTGGGGCCCGGGAAGGTGGGGTCTCCCCGGGAAGTGGCGTCTTCCCCAACCTCCTCCCGGGTGGCCGGAAGTTTAGCACCGTCTTTTACAAACCTTCGTCAGGTCTATGCCTGACCCCATGAGAGGAAGCCCGTCCTCATCCATCTCCTCAGCGGGCGGGGGACCCAGAGTTCACCCACAAACCCCTCCCGGATGCTGACCTCCCAGCCTGGTAATCGTGACTCAACTGACCCCCTCAAATCCCCGCCTCCGGCGCTCTTCCCTTCCCGGCGGAAGAAAACTCCTCCGCTCACCAATCACTCGGCGGCTTCCGGAGAGCCCGCCTTCTCGCTGGGCATTCTGGGATTGGTAGTTTAAGTCCAGATGTGATGTTGAGTTCGGGGTGGTTAGTGATGGGGCAAGGATGCAGTTATAGCAGTAAAATCTTAGAGGCGGGTAGAAACAAGCAAACAAACAAACAAGTCGGAAATTGCGAGTCCTTTTGAGGTTATCCCTACTTAGTTCTGTCTGTTATGTAATAGCTCTGTCATTCCTTGAGCAACAATTATTTAAAAAATCCTAAGTGCCGTATACTTTGCTAGGCCTTACTGAGAAAACAAAGATTGAGTTCGATTGCTGCACTGGCAAGGTTTATGCTCTGAAGAACGAGATATAAGACCTACTTTTAAAGTGTGTGTGTGTGTGTGTGTGTGTGTGTGTGTGTGTGTGTATACACTAGTTCTTGCTATTTACCCAGGCTGGTCTCAAACTCCTGGCCTCAAGGGATTCTCCTGCCTCAGCCTCCCAGAGTGCTAGGATTACATGCGTGAACCACCGCACCTAGTCTTACAAAGCTTTTTAAAATATGAAGTAAGATGTCAAATACTAGAGGTGAGGCACAACCTATGGAAGTGACTGTCACAGAGAGCATCAATAAGATGAAGAGGTAGACTGAAGTGGGCAGTTTCGTTTTAAAGATGCGGGGAGATGGGGTCTTGCTCTGTCACTGAGGCTGGAGTGCTGTGAGGATCATAGTTCATGGTAGCCTCAAATTCCTTGACTCATATGATCCCTAAGCAATGGGATTACAGATGTGAGCCACCAGCACCTGGCCCTGTTGGTTTGGTTGAAACAAATGATCCCATAAATGGAGAATGGTAGGAAATGAGGTGGGAGTGTTATTCGTAGTGGGTGTTCAGGTTCTTGATGCTTTGAACAAAGAATTGGACAAAACGCACCAAGCAAGGAAAGAATGAACCAAAAAAGCAGAGATTTATTGAAAACGAAAGTACACTGCACAGTGTGGGAGCAGGTGGGAGCTCAAGGGCCTGGATACAGAATGTTCTTCTGTTTAAATACCCGCTAGAGGTTTTCCATTGTCCACTTGGTGTTCTCCTCATGTAAATGAAGTGGTGACCCACAATCAGTCTGATTGGTTGTGAAAAACAACCAATCAGAGGCTGAAGTTACACCAGTCACATTCCTATACAAACATCTGATTGGTTGTGGGAAACAACCAATCAGAGGCTAAAGTGATGTTACTGAGTTGCACTTTTATGCAAACGAAGATTTGGCCCACAGTCAGTTTGACTGGTTGCAGACAGCAACTAATTAGAAGCTGAGGTGAAGCTACAAAGTTACATTCCAATGCAAAATCTGACTGGTTGCAGAAAGCAACCAATTAGAGGTACTTTCCATTTTTACCTGCCCATCAGAAAAGGTAGGGGTTTGCAAAGGGAGTAGCCTCTGGTCCTTTTATTACTTAGGTATAGAAAGTTGGGGTTTTCCTTTTGATTTTTTTCTACTAAGTCAGTATGAATCGGCTTTAGGCTCCCTTCCTCCAGACCCCATTCTGCCTCAGGAAACAAAGCCAGAAAAATTTCATATAAGGGCCTTTTATGCCAGATTTGACACTGTAGTCCACGTTTATCTAATGTGATCCATAGACCATCAGTAGCAATTATTTGGGAGTGGGTGGTGTTTCACGTTGCCTAGCCTAATCTTAGATTGAGCACCTTCTCCCGATTGAACTTTCTTAATTATTCTTTCAAGAAGGCAAATCTTCTTTGGTTTTGTTTTTATCATTATGGTCATTTCTTCTCAGTTTCTTTTGCTGGTTCCTTCTCATGTCCCCAATCTTTAGAGTTTCTCACATTTATATATCTATCTCAAAAATCACATTGGAATACAATATAGCTGAAGCAGAGTGAGCCACGTGGGGAACTGAAGGACATGATATCTGAAAGTTACGTGGAGACCTGATCATGCAGAGCTTTATGGGACATCATAAGGACTTTGGCTTTCACTGTGGGTGTAATGGGAAGTCATGGAAATATCTTGAGCAGAGAAACGATGGGAGTCACTGAAGAGCTTTTAAGCAGCGGCGTGGAATGATCAGAATTATACTTTGGGACATTCTATTTGGTACAAGATAATGAATGTGACTTGAGGGTAGTGGCTGAGCCTGGAAACAGTCACTCTTTACTCCATCCTCCTTTACATCTTACCTCTTCTATCTCCTAAGTAGCTCTTGAATCAATCTGTAACAGCATCTTTATTGCCATATCTCAAGTTTTGTACAATACACCTTTATGTCTGGGTTACTGCAATCGTTCCTGCCTCCATCTTGTGTCTCTCTAACCTATTCTACACATTGTAGCCATAGTAACTTTTAAGAAGACAAATCTGATTATATTACCTAGGATATAATTTTGTTCCCCATCTCCCTCAGTTTAATATGCTCACAGGTCCTCTCTATGGCTCTTGGCCACTTCTTTAACCGTACCTCTCACTGTTACAACTTTCTCCTTAACCCCAAATAATTTTTCAATTCCTGGAACTGCTTGCTGTGTGTGGGTCTTTCAAGATGTTGTCTTCCCTCTGACTGGAACTATTTCCTTGCTTCCTAACCACCCCTGCCTGGGTAACTCCTACTCATTCTTCACATCTCTCCTTTGTTCTTGGTTTTCAAGTTTGAATATAATGTGCGTGGGGTATGGGTGTGGTTTTCTTTGTATTTACCCTGCTTGTGGCTTGCTGAGCTGCTCAGATCTGGGGGTTGTTGTTTTAAATCAAATTTGGAAAGATTTTTGGCCATTAATTCTTCAAAAAAACGTTTTTATCATTTTTCTTTTTTTTTTTTCTGGGAATTCAAAAATACTTGTATGTTAGACTGCTTGATATTGCCCACAGGTCATGGTGCTCTGCTCATTTTCCCCCTATCATTTCCTTTTCTCCCTATGTTTCAGTGTGGATAATTCTTACCAACCTATCTTCAAGTATTTTCTACTTTCCAATTTATTATAAAACTCATCCAATAAATTGATTTCAGATATATTTTTGTTCTAAAAATGTTTTTTAGAGTTTCTATTTTTCTCATGAAATTCCATTCATTCATCTTTTCCTCTTTATTAAAAAAACCAATTTATAAAGTTTATAAAAAGTCCTTATCTAATAATTCCAATTTCTGGTTCATCGATGTGCCTGCTTTTATTGACCACTTTTTCCTAATTATGGGTTGTTTCCTGCTTTTTAGCATGTCTTATAATTTTAAATTTTATTTTGGACATTGTGAAAAAAAGAACAATGTTCAGTGAGGAATGAAACATTCAGATTCAGTCACAATTTGAATCAAGCTGGTGCTGGGCTGCTACTTTAAGTTTACCTGCAGTTAATTCAATTCAACCTCCTGCAAAAGACTCAGCTCTTGCATCTTGTCAGTGTTTGTGTTAGAGGGGGATGGGCCATAGTTTCAGATCAGTTGGTTCACCTCTGGATTCAGTTTCAGCAGGGCTCAGAAATCCAAGCACTGGAAGAATGTGCAAGATTTAGTGAATTTTTTCTACTTATCAAAAGCATTTCCTCCATTGCTGCTTTCTTAGCAATCTTAGGGGTGGAGCGTAAGCCTAAGCGATTTATTTTTGTGATTGAGGTCCTTTCAGACCCAAGTCTGTCTCACCAGCTTATACCATTGGCAAAATCTCAGCCACTTTCTCCATAACTCTGCAAAGTCTCCTAGAATGTGGCAGGTTTGTTCTGGGCATGGCAATGCCATGGCTCTCTGCTCAACTATATTCCTTCAAACATAGGCATGTATATAGAATTTATTTTATTAAGGTCTTACAGACATTGCTTTTCAACAGCCCTATAAAGAGTGTGATTTTTATGGGTTATTTCTTATTACCACTATGTAAAAGGCTTTCATGGATCTTTCTGTATTCTAACTACTACCAGAAGTCTTACCATTCCATCCTTAGAGCTTTCCCTAACCCACAAAGATTAGATTAACTGTTCTTATATGCTTCTATAGCATTCTCTGCTTAACTCTACCTTAGCACATATAATTGCCTGTTTGCTTCAAAGCCTACTATATTATCAATTTAGGGCAGTCTGTTAGTTCACTATTAAGGCCCTAGCCCAATGTCTGACCTACAGTAAATGCTAAGTATCTCCTGAGTGACATTTGCGCTTAACAAACCTTGTATTTCCACATCTTACTTGATATTCCATGAACCTTCAATTTAGGTGGAACTCACAACTCTGGTTACCCAATCAGCCTCCCTGAGCAGAATTCCCCAGTGGTCAGCCTAGACTTCTTCCGGAGCCAAGAGAGGCTCCCAACCAGGAGAAAAATTAAAAAAGAAAAAAAAGCACAGTAACTTCATGGTTATGGTTATGTGTAAGTAGCAGGCATTTATGTATGTGTATTTGTGTAGACACGTGTATATGATGTGGTTCTAGATACAGTTATGGGCCACATACCGTTTAATCAGTAATGGACTACTTACTACAGGGTGAACCCTTTAGATTATAGTAAAAGGTATAGTATTTTTACTACACCTTTTCTATGTTTAGATACACAAATACCATGGTGTTACAACTGCCTATAGGATTTAGTACAGTAATGTGCTGTATAGGCTTGTGGCCTAGGAGCAATAGACTACCAACAACATTTTGTTAAGTGGCTTGGTTTTTAGAGTGGCAGTTTCTTTGCCTCCTAGGATCCTTGATGATTACTGTTCATCAGTCGTCCTTCGTTCCTGAGAGTGGTGCCATTCACATTTTAATAAAGGATTTCCAGGACTCTTAAAAAGAATCTATACCTAGAAGTCTTGGCCAACTGCCAGATACCCTTTGAAATATGTACTCTTTCCTTCAGGTTTTCTTGCTGTGGTAAAAATGAAAAGTATTAACAAATTTCATTTACTGTAGTGAATTTTGGAGGCAAAATAGATTGTAATGAATACTGATTTCAAAGACTGTATGTGCCACCTCCATATATTCATTTGAGAAAAAAAACCTTAAAAAAATTTCAATTTCTTGAAATGTTTTCG